TCACAGCGCTCTGACAAAGCTCAAAACATGGAAATGTTTGTTTGGGGTAATATATATATATATTCAGAAATATATATATTTGGATAATATACACATATATTTTTTGGGGGAAATATATACACACACTATATAGAGTGTGTGTGTTCGTGTATATATATGTTTTTTTTTTTTCCCCTGCCTAGGCAATTGAGAAAAGAAAAAAAAAACAGGCACAGAAGGGAGCAGGTTGGGAGACATCAGCTGCAGGGCTGGAAAGTGGCTTTTTGAGCCTGTGAAACAATAGAAGAGACACTCGCCCTGCAAAACCTCCCACCTCCGCGGGGCCAGGGCTGCAGCCCCGCATGGCAATGCCCGGCGGCATGGCCCGCTGGTCTCCAGGCTGGCTGGCCCTTGCTGTCCCCAGGCCGGTGGTCCCAGCGCGGTGGTCCCCAGCCAGGCTTTGGTGGGCAGGCTAAGAGTGCCCCCTGCAGCCCTGCCAGCCCTGCCGCCGCCAGGTGATTGTTCAACATTTCAAATAAATACCTAACAAAATACAAACAAGACAGGTTCCTAAATGCAGAAAGAGCCAAAAGCTCCAGAGCAAAGGCATCTGATTTAAAACCACGGGAAAAAAAAAAAAAAAAAAAGCAATCTAGGAGGATGAAGTGTTTAGAAGCGCTCCGTCACACCTGGTTTTAGCTGCTCTGAAGGGAAGGAGGGATGGCAGAAGGATTGTGGGCGTCCCCCCAAGCTGCTGGCTTTCGTTTTGAGGATGGGAAAAAAAAAAACAAACGCCACAGATGTCTGAAAATCCTAGGTAAATGAAACGGATGTTCACGCACTGCTCCAAGAGTGCTGTCAACAGCGCACGCAGCTAGAAGCGGCGTGTTCCCTGCAATATTCATCAGACTGCTCCTCTACCCTCCGCTCACAGCACTAAGGTGCTAGACAAGACAGGAGGCAAAAAAATGGACCAAAAAAACCCCCACAGTCTCTGCTGGGCTTGTCTATCCTCGTGATACACATCAGCCTCCCAGCACCTTGAACTTACCCCAGGGCTCTAGAAGGCAAATACACCCCCCAGCTGAACCCCGGCGCGATAACAACTTTTGTTTGGTCCAGTTTTATGAAGGTCACTTCTGTAGCCACACACTGTTGGGTTTTAAATTAGCAGTGCCCCATGTGCTAAGAAAACCCAGCACAGTGCCTCGAAGTCCAGGTTTTTCGCCCTGTTTCGGTAGGGCCTCTCAGGGCAGTGCTGAAGCAGAAGCATCCACAAGGAATAAAAACCTTTTGCTTTCCTACAGGATCTTTATGTCGTGCCTACCACCACCCTTCCAGCAATGTGTATCCAAGAGCCAAGTCACAGTCTGCATTCAGTTAAATCCCCAAAGTCCACCCCAAAACAATGTTCCAACATCCAGCTTTCCCTCACCACCTTACACCTTGCAAGAAAACAGCCTGCCAGCCACGCGGGACCCACCGTCCTTACCTGTGGTCACGCCAAGAGAACATCACACACTAATAAAAGTTAAGCAAAATTCACTGCACGTAGGGAAACGCGTAGTTTCCCTTGCAATGAACAATCCATTTGCCCTGTGGGTCCTCGCCAGGAAGTTCTCATTGCATGGTCTGGGGAGGTTTCAAAGGGTTAAGTGATTCCTCAGCTCAGTCCCTTTGGGAAGGAATGCCACAGCCCTGACCAGAGGAAAGCGCCTGCCTTCTGCTTAGGCAGACCCACACAGAAAACCCACCTCCTCACGCAGCACTTCACCCTGCCCTGCAGATGTGAGCTATCACCTTATTTTGCAGACAGGAAAAACTGACAGGCAGAACTGGACAGCAATTCCCCCAAATTCCTTCTGCAAGCCTGCAGCGGAGCAGGGACCATGGCTCGGGTCAATGAGCAGAAGATTCTCATCCTGGGAGCTGAAAAGATGCTGTCTGCTGTATCTGACAAAGTTTCATCTCTTTTCCAGGATGCATTACAAGGCTTAACGAGTCACTGCACAAAAGGCTGAGGATACAAAGAAAAGAGAGATCAGCCAGCGCACAGAAGAATGCGGGCTGGGATCCCAAAATCCCCATTCAACACTCAGCGCTATCCCAGGCAGGTCTCACGGCTGCCAGGGGATTTCTTGCAGGAGCACGGTCCCACACCCCTACAGACACAGGGCTGCCAAGCCAACCACGGCACAACACTCCACCAACTACACGAGGCAGCAAAACACTTGTGGAAAGGAAAGCAAGATGTAAGTGCTCCCTCCGTGACAGGAAGGAGCTACAGCATCATGCGGGGAAGGCAGACGGAGGAGGGAGCCAGCCCCAGCTAAAACCTTTTGCAGCAGCTGTCTGCAGCGGCTCTGGGTGCTCCTTCTAGCCAGGTGGGCTGAGCACCAGGAAAGCTGCTGCATGGCTTTCAGGCAAAAGGAAAAAAAATAAAATACCCAAGGCTATGTCATTGACTCGACAGGCAGGGAGATCTCCAGGCTCCGCGGATGTCTGCTGCATGGCGAGGGGCCAGCGGGTCTGACAGCTCGCAGCGGCTCCAGCCAAAACGCTGACTTATGCCATCTCTGTCTCACCAGCAGAATTTCTATACTGGTATAACCTGCCAAGCCATTTGCGTTTACATCCAGTAAAAGGCTTGTTTGCTTCCAGAAAGGAAACTAAACTCATCATATATACAATCCAATAGCGAGATCCCAAATGAAAATCACACCAGCTCCAGCACCGAGTGCTCCGCAGAGCCGACAAAGCGCTTTCCTACCTGAAGAGTTCCCTGATTTCCCTGACAGTGGCCTGGAATGGGATGTTTCGGACCAAGATCTTGGAAGTCTTCTGCTTCTTGACAGTTTGTTTCTTTCGGGATGATTTCACAGCAGGCCTGGAAGTCAAAGGAAGGGCAGGTAAGGACCATTGTGCAGAAAAACACCCACTGCATTCTGTCTCCTTCAAAATTAGGAATGCAGAAAAATCAGCCAGTGAGCTCACATCAACATCCTCACTGGCATCTTACTGGTGACAACATATGTCATACAGTACAGCGAGAAGGAATGAATTTAAGTGATTTAAATCCTACATCGAAAAAATCAAAGTTTCCAGCTTGCTGACTGCAACCTCAGTTGAGGTCAGGCAGCAAACCTGGACTCACACTTGCCACTAACTTTTATTTTGACATTAAATCTTGTCCACTCAATTGGCAGGAGAACAAACTATTTGATACACTAAAAAAAAAAATAGGTCAATGTAAGTTAATTTTGATTCTTTTTCTTACTGGCTTAGAAAATAGCAAATTAAATTTTTTAATAGATTGGTTTTGGTTTTGTTTTGTTTTGTTTTTTGGGTTTTTTTAACTTCAGAATTGTAGTGCATGTGGACAAACTAAGAATTTACCTCATACAAAACACAGCAGCTTATTTTGTAAAGCAAAGCATTCCACATCGCAGGCTGGATACCTACTGAAGGGATTTGAAAAATCAAAATGGATGAAAATGGTTTATTAAAGAATTAAAACACAAAGTGCAGACAGGGAGCTGTCAGACTGCTTCTCGTCCCCAGGGACCAGATTTCCAAACAAATCCTGGCATTTAAGAGATACCTCCTCCAGCAGAGTTTCCAAAGTGTCTAAAGCAGAGTTTTTAGGTGCCGACATTCACCTTCAAACATCTGGATTAATTTTCAACTTTGCACTTAGAAGATTCTGTACTGGATAAAAACTAGGAAGGAAACCCTAAAAAGCAGGACTTGAACTCCAAGTAAATTCATCCACAAGTAACCATCTCCTCTGCAGCTCATGGCCCAAACAAAAGAAGTTAAACCAAAATTTTTTTCCAAGCAAGAAAGAACCCTGTGTTTGTCTTGATTTGATCAGAATTGGCAGCAAAAGTTTGTTCTTAAGCTCCTGTTCTCCCTGATGAACAAGGGTAAAAGATTTCATTACCCAGAGAGTATTTGTCTTTAAACCCACTGGAACTTGGGCTATCGGTTGATTTTGCAATGCTGACCCAAGCACCACCAAAGCAGAGGTTTTAAGGAGCCTTTTCTTTGAGAGTGGAAGAACACTCGTGTGCCCAGTTCTGTCTTTGGGCTCATTTTTGGGGTCCCGCTACTGCATGTTGCTGAGGGATTTTAACTGGAAATATGCCGCTTAGTGAGTGAACGCCTTCACATCAGCTATTCATCATTTCTTTTTTCTTTCCAGGTAAGATTGACTAAAGTGACTCCGAGTAAAGCACAACAAAGGCTGATGTGCCCAACAGTCAGAGCAGTACTGACCACGTCCCTCATGATGCAGAGATGAGGTAAGAAGCAAGGAACCTACCAAGCATTACTGCAGCTTAAATATAACTGTGTTACAGAGGTGAGACATAAGCTTTACCTGACAGCTCTCTCCGAGATTTTCACCTCCAGCTTATGGCCATCCACAGAGCAGCCCTAGAAGTTCAAACAAAGAAACAACAACAGAAAAGAAAAAGAACTTAACAGAAAATTAGAGTCACGACAGCTTCCAAGCTTCCAGGGTACAAGCGCAGCATTTCACATCTTGCTTTTTCCCATATATTCCTCCCCTTCTCCCTGCCAAGGTTTTTCTCTGTTGAACACTGCTCACACGAGGCAAGGCTCCCAGTAGGAGGTTGGAGCCAGCTTGATTGACTGAAGCAGCAACCAACATCCCTGATCCAGCTGTCCATCACCCTCAGCTCTGCCGCTAAACTGGCAAAGGCGAGCTGCTGCTTCGGGCTATGGTTTCCTCTGCCTCTAGACTGCAAACTCTTCCAGGCAAGGACTGTCTTATTTGTTCTGGAATGAACCAAGGGTGTCTCATTGGCCATCACAGCAGCCACCACACCAAGAAAGGCTTCTCTCTTTTGCTTCCTGAGCCTCAAGGAACTTCCTACAGTTCCTAACCATCCCTGACAAGGCACACAACATGCAAAGGCACCACGCCACGAACCTGGGGCCCTGCTGCCCTCTCCTCCACAAAAATACCCCTTTTTCCTGCTCTCGTCCCCAGAATTCTGCCTTTCAAAAGGATGGAGAACACACATCAACCCCATGACTACCTAGGCTGTGGTATGTGAAACAACCGCCTGTTCAAGGGGACACTCGTGGATCGTCGTCACTGAACGTGCACAGGTCACACAGGGTAATCCCTTCACATCTGCCTAGGAAGGGATCCCTCCTGCTGCCTGCCCCGCACCACCCAGGCAGTGTGAATAAAGCACTCAGATGTTTTCCTAGCAGCAGAGAGAATGATGGATTCCTTCAGAGTGCAGCCAAAATCTGTGACATGCCATGGAGAAGGTAGGAGGCTGGAAGACCCTGAAGTAATGGCAGAGTCAGACGGTGAAGCCAAACTCTGCAGCACCAAACACTAAGCAATATTTTTTCCTCCTTGTGAGTGGGACCTGGCCCATTTGAAAGGCTTCTCCATCTGCGCAGTTTAATTCATGGCACCAACATCCTCAGCTACATTTTGAACTTCACGCTTCATCCAAGCCTCTGCCCACCATCTCTGGAAAGAAATCCGGACCAACGATGCTTAAGCTTACCTGGAGCCGGCGCAGAGCCTTCTGTGCGCTCTCGGGTTTCTTGTACTCCACAAACCCAAAGCCCATTGAAAGCAAAGTGCCTGTCAGAAGAGAAAGGGGATTGATGAAGCTAGCAGGAAACAGCAGTGATACTAAGTGGAAAATTTAAAAACAAATCAGGATGGCCAAAATTGGGGGGACAGAAACTAATACCCCAGGCAAAGGGCCAGCCTGCCCGTGCCCTGACTCGGACACCCCTCATGAGCACCCCTGCTGACTCATTTTGAGCAAGATGCTGCTCTGGAACAGCTTGTTTTGGTGCCAATGTTGAAGAGGAGATAACTGATGTTGCATGCAAAACAGATTTTTCACTTTGCTTAATTTCAGTACAGCCTCCTTAAATAAAGCACCAATTCCTACAAAACAAGCACCGGTCATAGTCAGGGTAAGTGATCCCATTAGGGATACATAAACATTTCTTTAGACACACGACTTTTTCCTCCTGACTGAAACAAAACCTTCATTTGGAAAACTTGCCAGCTACCCAGAAGCAGGTGTGACTTTTGTTGCAGGATAGCAATACGCAGGCTGCACGTTGGTCCCCAGAAGAGACAATTCTAACCTGTGACCCCTTCAGAAAATAGTTTTGACCGACACTTGACAAGCAGCCAGTTACTGACCACTGCTGGGCGCGGGGCATGTGAGATGTGGTTCAGTGTGGACTGCCATGTGCTCTATTTCCCATCATCACAAAGTGCAAGCTCTGTGGTTCACTTAAGAGACAAAACACCTTTGATATCTGCAAGGCTCAATAGGAGCAAGCGCTTCTATAAACCCAGGTGGGCAGCTGGTGGTTCCACGCAGAAGGAGACATCTATTCCACCTCCCTGCACAGCAAAGGTTTGCAGCACCTACGGTCACACCGTGCTTCTGAGGAATACACTGACCAGCACAAGAGCCATAGTTAAGGCTGGCTGAGGAAAGGAAAAACCCACAAGCAAAACCATAACACCCAGTTTTCAACTTCAAGACCCCATGGTAGCAGACTGCAGTGATGACCCCACAGTGACTGAAGGGGATCGCTTTGGTAGGTGGTGTGAGATCAGCCTAGACTCAAACCTTGCCGTCTGGTCACAAGCACGCCTACAGCCAGACATGTGAGCAGTACTGAAGAGTTTGTTTTATTTCTTTTTCTTCCAGTAGATCTGGGTTTTCAAGTATCCCACACAAGGGGAGCCCTGGTAAAGCAAAATCCCATAAAGCTAAAATCTGGAAAGAAGCCACAGACCATCTAGCCAGCGCTTGCCTTAAGCAAACCCATCCCTGTCCAACCGCCCAGAAAGTGAGCAGAGCCAATACAACAGGCAAAACCACTCGTCACCACAGTCTTGCTGGGCTCGAAGCTGGCAGGCAGAAGGCAAACGAAGCCCACTCAGCACACAGTACTCAGCCTGGCATCCTTGAAGATCCTGGCTGTTGTTGCGGATAAAGCATGTCGTGCATAGGTTTAATCATCATGGGGCACTGGTTCAACTCGCATCCCGCTCTCTTCTGTGATCCTGAAGGAGCTGGCTTCTCTATCTCAAGATCTCAAGAGAAGGCCACGTCTCCACAAATCCCACAATTGAGCTTAACCTTCTAGATCAAACCCCGTGGTATTTTTGGTTGCTGCTTTCAGCCATTTCAACAGGCATACTTCTAAAAATATTAAGGATTTCACCACTGAGAACACAAATGCTCAGCCAGCTGAATGCTAAAACAATGCCACACCTGAGCCCGCAGCAACCAGCCGAGGGAAGGAATTGAACAGCAACATCGAGAGTACCTGCTTTGTCTTTCTTCTTGGATATCGTGCAGCTCTTCACAGCTCCCACTTTGGAGAATGTCTGCAAGGAATTTGGACACGTGATTCAGTTCCCTTTGTCACAGCCTTGCAACTCAACCTGAGTGACAATGTGAGAGCACACAATCCTCAGCCCACCTCCCCCCAGCGCACACCTGACAAGCAGTCACTGCAGCTGTGTCTTCTCTTATAAAATATTTCTGTACAAATAGACGCCCACACAGGCATACAGAGCCTTTTCAAGACAGCAATGCACATGTTCCCAGAAATCCTCCATCACCCCTCAGAAACTACAGAGCAATCTGGGATGGCTCTGGAGGAGGATTATGGATTACAAGACACCCTCACACCCAGGTGGGGACTTTAGCGGTGGGTGACTCCTGCAATGCACCTTGAATACGGCTCCTTCCAAAGCCATGCAGGGTGGCAGGGGCTGCCCTACAGCGACAAGCCATCTATTCAAATCCTTCATAAAACCTCAGCCAGGAGGCACAAAAAGAAGAAGAGACAAGTCCCAATCCTCCTCTGAACATTTACATTTGTCCCCAGACCCAACTGGACCAGGGTGTCTGTTAGTACCGCAGTCCCAAGGTGAAGGAGCATGGGTCCAGGATGGACTGACATTGTGCCAACATTCTTGGGCCATGAAATGTGGCTTTTCACATGGCTACGGAAAGCGACAGAGACAGGAACTCCCAGTTGCTTTTCCCTATTTTGCTATTTATATCCCACATGGTTTTAAAAACACTAAGATCTCTCCCAGGTGTTTTGCTGAGGTAAAGCACAGACAGCTCAGTGTCAGTAGAAGCCTGGATGAAAAGCACATCTCGGTGAAACCGTCATTTATTTCTTTATGCCTTAACACAGAAAGCAACATCACAGCTGCACAAGTGCTTGTCCCTAGGAGAAGCACTGCAGAAAGCATGGGAAATGAGGAGGCTTAGAAGATTTCCTGCTGCCTTCACCTGTCCCGAGGTGGAATTAAACCCCATCAAAACTGTTTCAGATACATTTGTCTTGACACCTGAAACCCCAAAGCAGAGGTTCCCAGTCCCATACAATCCAGTGCTCCCACATCTCCCATCAGGTACTGGCTGCAATTTCACTCATTTAAACACTTTATCTTCAGTACAACAGAGGTGAAGAACAGCTTGCCCCTTGCCTTCTGCAGCAGAGCTAAGCCTCTTCTTCCAGCCCATGCTGGGAGTGGGGGCTTTACTCCATCAGGCATCTCAGTTTGGCCCTCAACCACACTCTCAACCCCTTCCCACTCCATCAGAGCAGACAATGCTAAGCAAAACCCAGTTACACCTCATCACTTATGGCTCACCTCCTTCAGTGTGTCTTCTGTGGTGGCAAAGTTCAGGTTTTTGATGAACAAGGTACACCCAGGAATGCTTTCTTCTTCCTCCTCCTCTTCTTCTTCTTCCTCTTCTTCCTGTGCTGCTGTTTCTTCTGAGCCCTTTACAGCTTCATCTAAAACAAAAAGAATAAACCCAACTTTGCAAGATGTTACAAAGCCAAATTTTGGGGGAGCTTGCCCACGACCCCAGCTCATAGTTACTACTCTAGCAGGAACGGGCCACTTCTCTGTTGGCTCTTGCGGGTGGACACAGACTGAAGCAAGCTCAACACACAGTATATGAACATGTCCCCATGAAAACTAAAATATTGCCTATTCTTTGAGTCTTAAAACTCCACAAACCTGCTTCCCCAGCACTCGGACATCCTCACACCAAACCGGGCCAGATACCTGCTGCACTAGGCAAGGAGCCCCAAACTTCCTCGAGCATCCTTCTGCACTGCTCTGAAACCTCATCTCTTGCCAATATGTATCCGCAGGACAGGAAACACTAACTTCCCCATCAGCATGTGAAGAAATACGGTTTATTAAGCCCAAACACATACTGACGGAGAACTGCATCCAGCACAGAGGCTGTGGTCTTGAAGGGCTTCACTATAGCATTAACACTTCGAGGGTTTATATTCTGTGACCCACAAACCTCACTCAGAGCAACAGCCACACACACTATTTTGTACAAATCGTGCTCTGGGACTCTGCACATACAGATCTGTAAAAAGAAAACCAAATAATCAAGCTGCAATTCAGCAGTCAGCACAACAGCTGCCCACAGCTGGGAAGTTAACAGAACCCTGGGTGCTGTGCAGCTGATCAATGGGCGAATCTGCCGGTATTTGCAGTTGCTCTTACCAAGGGGTGAAGCTTTGGCAACTGTACTTTGACTCTCTCCGTCCATATATCCATCCATCCATCCATTCCCCCATCTTCCCAGCTACTAAAATAGCCTAATTTATACTGGACTTAACATGACAAAGAGGCCTCAAAGCTATTGAGCTTCTGCACACATGGGAGGGTGGGGAGAGATCTGTTGATCCCAACACTGAAGCAGAGGCTGCAGTGGGACTAGGCCCTTATTAGACACCAGAGAATACACATAAGCATGCTCTCTCCCCTCCACTGACTCGCCAACTCCTTTCCTCGCTACACCATTTGTCTTTTAGAGCAGCTTCATCCCCTACAGCACAGCTGGTGCTATGCTCAGAAGGGGCAAACTACACATCTCCCTTTGGCATTAACACCCCCTTGTTGATTTTTCTAGGCTTATTTCTCCCTCCTTTCTTACAAAGGAGAACCTGCATGGGACCAGGGGTGGGCAGAGACCCCCCCAGCTCCACCCCAAGAGCTGTCTTTCCCCACGCAGCTCCATCTGGCTGTGCTCCCTGTCCCCAGCACCACACAGCCCAAGCCTTTTTGGTTGGGTGGTCCGACACTCCTCGCTCCAGCCAGGGGGGTATTTGCCCACAAGACATAGAAAAAGACCCATCACCTTTGAAGGAGGCTTGTTTGAGGAAAGAGGAGGCAAGAGATTGAGCAAGGCAGGAGCGGGATGGGATGAAGAGGTGCCTCCATCTGTGGCTGGCACAATACAGCCACACGCTGCCACCAGGAGCCCTTTGTGAGTGAGGTGTTCACTGCACCTCAGCTCCCTTCCCTCTCGCAGCTACAGAGTTTGGCAGCAAAGACCACGATCAGCCCCGAGCTACCTTGCAGGAGCTCCTGCGCTTAAAGTCCTTTATCTCCAGGTGAGGGCCTCGGTGACAGGGAGATAAAGTGGCCCCCTGCTTTCCTCTGGCTCCAGCCCTCCCCTGTGACCCAGGTGCAGAACAGCAGCCCAGGAAGAGGCTTTTCATCAGGTTTTCTCCCCCCTCGCAAAACCTCAGAATCCTGGAATAGCTTCTAGCAAAACAAACCTACATAAAGCCATGCTCCACCAGCCCCTTCTTTTTCTTTTATAAAAAGGATCTTAAGAGGTTTTAAATATACAAGCAAGATTTTATTTTTACAGCCTCTGGGATGGGGAGAAAGAGGCTACAGTCAGGAAGGGAAGAGCATGTCCTTGAAGCCCCAGACAAAATATATAGTCAGGTCCAGCTTAGAGAGAACAGCTACTGATTCCCCGTCAGCTGCTGCCAAGACCAGACCAGACCAAAAGTCTCTTCCCAGAGCTCATGTTAGCCCCGTACAAAATGGAGCTATGTGTTGCAAGCAGCCCTTCACTGCCCACACCTCATCCAGGTGAGGAGGGCAGGGCAGCAACGAGCACAGCGCTTGTGTGATATGATCAACTAATGTGCCACACAGAGGGTGACCCTAAGGGCCACGTAGGTGACTTTGTGAGGCTGGTTCCATCCCCAAAGGGTCAGGAATGTCAGCATTGCTGCATTACATGTGAAGGAGCGTCAAAACAACCAGAGACACCTCTGTCCCAAAGTAAAAGCTCTTACCAGGTACCAGCTGTGCTTTGCCATCCTTTTCTGGATCCTCAAGGGTTTTTTTCAGAGGCGCTGGGCTGAAGAAGACACCCATTGGAGCCCATTCCAGATACAACGGCACAGAATGAAACTGTAAAGAGAACACAGGAGAGAAATAAAGAGTGGAGGGCAAGGCCTGAAGAAGCAGCTCTGCTCTCAGCTTTATTTTCCTCTCACGCTGTAATGGAAAACAGCAGTGGAAAAGATGAGCAACTTTTTCAGCTGGCTAAATTCTCTGGCACCAAAGGAGAGTCTGTATCCAGCCTCACACAGGACCACAGTCTACAATGTACCACACTCCTGTACTGCAAAAGGTAAAAGAAACCCTCTCCAGGCCACCAAGGCTTTTCTAGATGCATCACAGCCCCCTTCTCCAGCCACCTTCTGCAGGCTGAGACCCCTACTCAGCCACTGCTGCACAAGGATGCACTGGGCATCTCCCTAAACCCAAGCGATAGAGAGGAACAGCAGGGGTTCTGGGATAACTCACTTCCCTCAAAAGTCCTCTGCCCCCTTTGCAGCAAGCACAACTAGCCAAGATCCACATTCTCCAGGCAGCTGCCTACCCATCGCCATGCTCACCTTGGAGTAGGCCAGCCTGGTGAACGCTTGCTTGGCCTCAGTCGGCTCCAGGAACTCCACAATGGCCGTGATGCCTCCTTCTGGCAGCAGCACCCGGCCCAGGCTGCCGTGTTTGCCAAAGACATCCTCCAGCTCTGCTACACTGGTGCCAGCTGGGAGGTTCTTTACCAAGATCACTGTTTTACTCCGCTCACCAGCAGCCTGACACATTCAGTGGGGGAAGAAAGAAGAGATGGGATTTAAAAAAGCAAAACCCAGTATCCTACAAGACTTCAGATCCTACACACCGTGCTCTCTCACTCCACCTCACCCCTTTCCAGGATCTCAGATGGCCAACAGCCATTTAGAAAACACTTCCTAAAAGATCCACAGCCCAGTACAACCTCCCTGTTCCACAAAATGCTCATGTATGGAGAATTCAGCTCCAGATCCACTCTGGTACGGACACAGGACTACTCCTCTGCCTACAGCCACCTGACCGTCATACTCGGAGCCCTTATACTATGCATTTCAACCATCACATGGGCAGTTACATTTTCCATGGACAGAACATTTCCTAATCCATGTAAGGGTTCAATCCTGCAAGATGCTGAGGATTTAATTACTAATTTCTAAGAGATCTGAGGACACTTCAAAGGATCTTTATATCCACATCGTTGCCTCTAGCTGTGCATCTTACCTGACTGAAGGAGTCCAGGCTGACTCCGTTTTCAATGAGGAACCGACGAATTTCCTGGACCAGCTCGGTTTCTCCCAGAGCGACCCTCACTGCCACACTGTCTTTAGTCTCCTGCAGGCAAGAATGTCAGTCACCTGTTGGTCCTGCTGCTCTCAAAAGAGGATGCAAAGAGAATTTGGTGGAGAGCTATAAGGCAAAATGCTCAGCTCCTCCGAAGCTGCTGGGAGTTCTACTGTTGGAGTCAGAACGCTTCCGAAGGCAAAATGAGATTTCCAGGAAGGATCTGAGCTTTAGGGTGTAAATTCCCATCAACTTCTAGCTATGCAGAAATGCAAAATTCAGGCACAGAAAAGCAGAGTGGGAAGGAGGGCTGGGAGCGTCCCTTTGTCTCGCAGTGACAGAGGGGTTGTTAGGCTCAGATCCCACAGAGAAGGCACAGCCCCACTGATCTCTCAGCCTGCATGAGGCGCCTTGATGCACAGCAGCTTTTGCTGCACAAAAAGACCAGGAAGGCCCGGGGCACGAGGAAATAGATAGGAAAGTGATCTCCCATCCCAGATGATCAACCACCCAACTCACATGATCCAGCACTTGACTTTTGGAAGCGTTGTACTTCTGAGCAATGGCATCAGCCACAGCGTTTGTCCCCACGAACAACGTGTTCCAGTTGTGAGAGCTGCAAAGAGGAAGAAGAGCCAGGTTCAGACTCACGCGGTCCCGTCACTGGTGTCTCTCTAGTCAATGGTCCTGGGAAAAACCAGCTTTGAATGCCACCGTTAGCAGCCAGGGTGAAGAGCTAGAGGGAAAGAAGGGTGGAACATCCTTAGAGAAGGGACAGGATGAGGGAGACATGACGGGAGAGTGAGCAGAAAGGCAGCAGTGCAGGCAGCTTAGCTCTTCTTCCCTAGAGGTCACCGGTCACAGCTCTGCAGTTGCAGAAGTTCAGATGTTGGCTCAGAGGAACACACGTTTTTCAACTGGTTTCCTAAAAGCACAAAGCCATTCCAAATCACATTTCTCTCAATTTCTGATGCTCACTGAACTACTAGAGCTACTCAGATAGACAAATAAAGTAGGTAAGAGATAAAGGAAACAGAGCTGCACAGCAAATGCGTTATTGACTCTGGTAATCTATACAGCCCCTGCAAAGACCCCACATGCATTCATGCCCACATGCATCCCTGCCACTTGGGAATTTGGCAGGTTGTGTTGTCTTGCCCCACCACAAGACACCTCTGTACCTGGCACTGTTGGCTTTGTCCTTGGCCTCTTTCTGCTTTTTGTAGGAGGAAGACTCTTCTGCATCTACATCTTCGATTTTTTCCTTTTTGATTGTGGACGGTAAAAGATGCATCATTCTACCCTAGAAAAAAAGGAAGAAGAGGTCCAGCAGCTGTGAAATAACCCACAGAGGTTCACAAACTAAGCACAGCAGAAGAAATTTTCTAGCATCTCTCCTAGTCAAGCAACCTAGGTGGAAGGAGGGAACCTTCCTTCCCAAAGGAGACATTACTGCAAGTCAGAGCAGCCACACAGTGTGAGAGACCAAGCCTCAAATCTCCTTCTCCACCTCTAGCTTAGATTTTGGCACCTGCAAGGCTGTGCAAACCAGGCTACTCTGCCAAAAGCAACTGTGTCCCCATGCAGCAAGGCAAAATAGACTCAACCTTTTCAGCAAAGCACAAAAGCAAGCACTTGGCCACATTACTAACAAACATTCCCACCAGCTGCAGTCCAACAGTAGAGGAAAATCATCAGTCACCCTACCTGGAAAACTTGCCCATCCATTTCCGCGTAGGCCTTCACCGCGTGCTCAGGAATCATATAGGTGATGAACGCAAATCCTTTGGGTTTCTTGGTCAGTCTGTCAATAGGGAAATGGATCTCCGAGAGGGGTCCTGCAAAAGGCAAGGCCTTCCATGAGAGATGTCCTCACACAGCCATTACACACTCTGACCTGGCACCTCCTGGCCAAAGCCAGGGAGGAGAGGAACCAAGGAGCAGCTCCGAGTATCACAGAGGGTTGTGCAGCAAGCCCCCAGCCTGGGTGAGGAGCTGCTGGCTGCTGACGGACCGGGCAGGCCCAGCAGAAGCACCCCAAGTCTGGTTGTGCACCGTGGCAGCTCACAGGGCTTTGACACACAGCACAAACCAGGCAAGCGCTGAGCAGCTGCATTTCCCTTCAGCCAGGAATAAAGATTTACACAACCTAACCCTCTCTCCCTGCAGGACACTCTAATGCCAAAACAACCTGAAATTTAACTTTGAGCTAGAAAAGGGAAGCTTCCAGCTTCCCCAAACATCAATTTGGGGAGTACCTGAGAGATCCACCTCTTACCTACAGTATCTAGAAAACTCCTGCACAACCAGCACTTCATGCAGCAGATGCTTTTGGTTATCTTCTCCTCTTCTCCCTAGGACTCAGAGCCTGTGCTGACCAGCAAGAGCTCTTACTGAGGCACACGGGATGCGATGAGAGGGATGAGGACAGCCACGCACAGCAGTACACGCTTCAAGCGAAGGAGCACGGAGCCAGCACCAGCTTCAAAGCCGAGCAGTCACACACTACCACACCAGGCAGTAAAGATGATGGGAGCTGGCCCACAGCCGAGAGGTGTGGACCACAGAGCTCTGTCCATTCACACCCAGCAAGCAAACCTCTGTGTGCAAGAAGGACGTAGCCCTGCAAGTCCCAGTCCCACAGCAAATACTCACCATACTTGGAAAAGATCTTCTCCAAGTCCTCCTCAGTGCTGGTAAAGGGAAGATTCCTGACAAAGAGTCTCCCTGATTCAGCCAAGTCCTCCTCTTCCTCATCATCTCTCTTCCTTCTCTGCCATGGCTGGTTATCAGGTTTTGCCGTAACAGTTTCTTTTGGGGTGTTCGCACATCGGGATACCTCAACGCATCGCCCACCTAACGCACAAACACACACAGAGGAACATTAGATGCTTCCCAAGGGCAATCAAGAGCAATGCGCAAAGAGCCTGGGCTTACAGCAGTGACACAAACAATCACAATTCCACAAGCTTGCAGCAGAACTCTGCCCGATTTAAAAAAAGAGGAGGTGGAGGCTGCAAGAAATCAGTCTTCATAAAAAACAGGATAACATTTGCTAGACAGCTCCCCAGTCTCCCTTCCTTTCAGAGAGCTCCAGCATTTCTGCCTGTGCCAACTGAGTCCACAGGCTTCCAGGTAGATATTCCCATTCTGCACAGGATTTTTGCAAATATAATTTTAGTAATTCCACTAATGGCTAGGCCAAGAACGGGTTTCAAACACAGGCTTACCAAATCGTTTGTACAAATCCCCTGCGCTACCCCAATGAGATTTAAACAATATAATTTTTATACAAAGCGCAAGATACACTTCAAGCACAAGACAAAAAACAAGGGCTAAAGAGCAACATGCACAGCTCAGTCACTTGCCAATTCTCTGCTGCTCCTGACACGGCACCTGGTTTATCCCCTGTCAGCCGAGTGGAGGAAACCACCCCCACCATCTGCCTGGGAAAAACTAAAACAACGGGAGATACTTCCGCAGTGAACACTTCAGCAGCTGAGCACTCTGCCGACGACATCAGACAGAGCTAGAAGGAACAAACAGCCCTTACCCAGGTATTCTTTCTTTCGCTTCAAGGCCCTTTGTACTTCTGCTTCACTCTTCAAGTCAACAAAGATATAACCTTGGAGGAAGGAAAGGTTCAGCTGAGCATCATGTGGGAACAGACAACCGCTAATTGGCTAATTAAGGGTGAATTGGACTTTCTTTAATATAGATTCCTATAGATAAAGCATTCTGCTCCTATTAAAGTTTCAATCCAGCCTGAAAATGGCCATGGCAGACTGGAAGGCTGCCTTTTAAAAGCTCATTCTCTACATGCAAACCAAAGAAACCTGATTTAACAGCTCAAGTAGGCTTTTATAGGTGTCTTCAAGAGCAAATAAAAGGCGCATCCGCTGTAAGGCTATGAAAGGAAAACAGCATACAGCCAAGTTCCCTGCCAGCTCTGAGGACTTGCTCCACACTCTT